CGGTACTTGGAAGGCTGAGGCGGAAGGATCGCCGGAGCCCAGCAGGTCGAGGCTGCGGTGGCCGGGAGCAGCCACTGCACTCCAGTCTGGGTGACAGAGTGAGACTCAACTCAAAAAACAAAAAAACAATAACAAAACAAAAAAAACTGCTTTTCCTGAAGCCCTGCAAGCTAAAGCTACACAACTTCAACTTGTTATAAGCTTGGAAAAATCACCACAACTTATTTATGGACAGAAAGTTCTTGGGAACACTTGCAATCCAGGAAAATCTATCAGATTGCCACTTCCTGCTTCCACCACAACTGTATATACTTTAAACACAAATTAAAATTTTCTCAGCTGGCTGCGCTCCAGACCCAGAGACTAGTTCATAGAACGTTCCAAACATTACTCTTTGTTTTTGTTTTGTTTACATGGAAATGCCTTTTATTAAATAGCTGTTTGCCTATACCATATAGAGACCTAACTTGGATGGAAACCCGCTTAACAACACCATCTTCTGAAATGAGATGCAACTGTTTCACTCAACTGACCTATTTTCATGATCAAGAGAATGTTTTAATAAGATATGGAACAATATACCCAAATTTGTTCCTTTCTACTTGTCCCAATCTATGATTTTCTCCCCTTTTGCCAACCTCCTACATTAAAACCTCTGGCCCAAATCTCTCCAAATCTACCCACTTGGTATTTTAACATGTGAAACTTTTGGAAAGTAAAGTTTCAAAGTTAAGCGGGAGGACTGAAGGAAATAAAAATACCTCTCCCCAAAATACCAAGGATTGTTAAAGACACTGAAAACGCAGGGAAACACTCTGCCTCAGGCTCTGTTTGCCTGATGGCAAGATATAAACCTTCCTTACTGGAGACAGCATTTGTTTATTGGCCCAGAGAAAGCACTGGCAGGCATCAGAGGAATCTAGGAACAGATTTTACTATCTTCCCTCCTTTTACAAGACTGAAACTGCCCTCTCCTTTGTCTTGTCACTATAAGATTTATGGCTCTTTGTTAAAATACTGTTTAAGCAAAGTCCCTAAGCCACTGCATTGTGGAAAAAAATCCTTCTGAACTGAGATCTCTTCCACCCGACTTTGGTTTTCAGAAGACTGTCTCAACCAGGAACTTATGAGGATTAAAAAAAAAAAGAAATATTTTCTATTTACTCACCTCATCTGTTAAATGGGGAATGTTAAGGAAAAGTTTCTTCTTGTCTCTTCTAAACTGTTGATCTTACCTGAATAGTTTCTTCCAGACGGTAGCACTCGAGAACTTGCAGTGTCTCTATAAGTTGGTCTGGGTTGAACTGACACAACAGCTCAATGAACTGCTCTGTGATACAGGGGGATATTTGTAGCATTTCTTGGTTTACATGAATACCTTCCCTAAAAACATAAAAGGTAAGAGAACACTAAATTGTAACACTATTTGATCACATCTATAATTAAGGCTACTGATAAGTATATTAAGTTAAAACCAACACTACTTTCTGGTTAGGTAAAAGTGTGGATTGAAAGACTCAACTTTACTTAGGTTATTTGACTGAACTGTACATTATATCAGAGGCATTCTAAGTTGCAGCATTTCTCAGTTTACGTTGAATAATTACAGAAATAATATTCAGTTGAGACTCTTCTAAATCCTACCAAAATGTATACTTTGTTTTAAGAGAAACAAGAAGACTCATTCAATTGTCTAAACAATTTAATCCATAATTAATTATATATAATAAACGATCTTCCAGGCTCAATAATTGTCTTCTATACATAGTACCAATCACAACACATTGCAATTACTTCCTCACTTTTTTACCTGTCTTTTCTAAAAGACTATAAACTCTGCAAGGGAAGGTGTCTTCTCCCTAATAAATTTTTGAAGCCAACCAGTGTCTTGCACGTAGTTAGGGCTAACTTTTTTGATTACTGTTAAAACAGATAAAAAGTGATGAATAATAAGATACACAATACTTATGAGTTCATTTGCCTTGTATGCCAGCTACTCACAAAGACCATTATTCACAATGCCTACATAAAAGCTTTGAAAGTCGTGTACTAATTTAATCATGCTGGGCACTCAACTGTTGGCCAAAAGGAACTACTTAGGAAATCAAGCTCATTAGAGACCTAAGAATCTTCTCTCTGGCTCCAAAAGACGTCAGTTCTGAAAATGCTATCTTCTCTTCAGAATTCCTCCACTAGAACTCCTTACATAAACATCTGGAATAGGGTTAATAGAAAAATGATTTCTTAGCAAACTAGCCTTCTTCCAACTTTTCTCATATTGTAGCACACAGAAAATGGCAATATGTGCATGACCCACTAAAGTGAAATAAGATTGCTCATGCAGGACTCTGGTTGTCCCAAGAGCTGAGGAGACCAGTCTCTAAGCACACCAGTAACCATGCAGTGCACCAATATCCACAGAGTGTGAATCTCTGGACTCCAGAAAGAACTATTTGGGTTTTATAATTACTCCATAAATGAACAGCACTCCTATTGTTACTATAGGAGGCTTGAGTTACAGAAGAAGGGATTATATTTAGACATAGGATACTTTTCCTAATTTAAGAGTATGTGATACTCAGTCCTGATCAGAGGTTGAGTAATAAACAAAATTTCTACTGCTTAGGGTTTTTAATATTTGCCGATGAACTAATTCAGTACCTCCTCAAAATTGGCTATGAATTCCAAAAAACAAGTTTTCAAGCTTTTTTTTGGTATCTCACAATTGCCGTTAATACAGAAATTTGCTCAGTGACTGGCTATTTCCTAGGTATACTACCATCTTAGTGCTTACTGTATAACTTGAAAATTATCTGTATATGTGTCGGTGTCCCCAACTACATTGTAAACTCCATGGAGGAAAAACCATGTTGCATTCATCTTTGCTTCTCTAGCATTAACATAATAATGGCACATAATAAATATTACTCGGCAATTCAATGTAAATATACATTGAATTAAACTGAGCTGACTGGAAATTAGACTGCCTTCAAACAGAGGGAAACAGAATAGAGAGAAAATTACAGAAACTAAGGCTATAAAGTCAGAGATAGCTAGGAATGAATCCTGTCAGAAAGCTCTACATGGAGAAATTGGATTAGCACATGATAAATCCAGGAAAATGGTAGTTCTCTACATGGGACTGTAATATTATAATATAATAAGAAATATATATATTTGTCTCTGCCCCTGGTTCCTGGCACATGGCTCCTAAAACTCCTAAAATCTCCAAAGTACAAGTATCTTTCTGCATGCTAATGAGATGACTGAGGGCTGGAAGCCCCTAAGTAGCCTCAGGATGGGGACTGGTTGCCAGAGGAACCAACCATGTGACTAGAGGGTTGAAACTTTCAGTCCCACCTCACCCCCTACACTTCTGGAGAGGGAAGAAAAGTTGAAGATTGAATTGGCCACCAATAGCCAATGATGCAATCAATCATGTCTCCATAATAAAACTTCTACAAAAGCCAAAAGGACTAGGCTCGGGAGTCGTCTGGATTGCTGAACATGTGTAAGTGCCTAGAGGGTCATGTACTCTGAGCGGCCATAAAAGCTCCTCACCCCTTCCCATATAGCTTGCCCTGGGCATCTCTTCTGTCTCCTCACATCTTATCCTTTGTAATATCATTGATAATAAAGGAGGAAATGTAAATAAGGAATTTCCCTGAATTGTGTGACCCGCTCTAGCAAATTAATTGAACCAGAGGAGGTGACTGAAGAAATCTCAACTTAAAGACAGTCAGAAGCAAAAGGTAACCTGAGGCTTCTGCTTAGTGTCTGAAGAGGGCAGTTTTGTAGGACTAAGTCCTTAACGTGTGGGATGAGAAATAAAATCAAAATCCTAACCCTCCACCTGACAGAATGGGTCTGAGACAGAGGAAGGACCTTTCTTAGAGACAGTCTGCCCTCCCCTGTCCCCCGAGCATGGAAATAAAGAAAAATCCTGAGTCCTTTTCAAGGTAAATTCCAGAAACCTACCTAGACTTCAGAAGTAAGTGAGCAACATGATAAGCAAGAAAATGATAATAGCTTAAAACAATAGCACCTTCAACAGGTTAGAGCCACAAGATGTTTGGTTACCTGTAGAAATTAGATAACATCTTAACATATGTCCCTGAGTTGTTTTTTTAGAAACCTGGATGTTTTCCACCAGGAAATGCCAATTCCTGTCACACAGACCTTGGATGGGGGAGAAATGAGAACTAAATTCTGACCATCATTCTTTGCTCTTTTTTTCTTTTTTTTTTTTGGAGTCTCACTCTGTCACCCAGACTAGAGTGCAGTGGCCGCTCCCGGCCACCGCAGCCTCGACCTGCTGGGCTCCGGCGATACTTCCACCTCAGCCTTCCAAGTAGCTGGAACTACAGGCGTGTGCTACCACACCCAGCTAATTTTTGATTTATCATAGAGATGAGGTCTCGCCAAGTTGCCCAGGCGGGTCTCGAACCCACGGGCTCAGGCAATCCACTCACCTCAGCCTCCCAAAGGCGTGGGATTACAGGCTAAGCCACCGAGCCTGGCTCATTCTTTGTTCTTAATGTCTTCCTGAGAAGCCTGGAAAGAGTCATCATGCCCATAGGCCTAGCGTTAACATTTCTTTCTGTTAATCCCCAATTTTTTTTTTTTAAAGAAAAAAATCTCCTATATCTGCTTTATTCTGTAAAGTACAGTTATATACAAATGCAGAAAATAAAAATAACACAAGCAAAGGAATCATATTTGGAACACAAAGAAAAGTCCATTTGTCATGTGTTTGTGTTCAAGAGCTTTACTCTTGTCAAAACAAAAATTGTTTGAAAGATAAAGGCTTATTTTATAAATGGCTTTAAATGCAATGACTTTTTACATAGCAATTTGTTACCAATAACATTTTAATGGCTTAATATAAATGAATACAAAATATATGAATATCCAATTCTACACAGATTGGGATGCCATAATTTCAAACATGACCAGACTATAAGAAATTAAGGTTTGCTTTAAGGAGCCCTTGTCTACACAACACCCTTACAAGGTTTCTAGTCTTGTGGTAAATAAGGAATGTCACTTTCTGACAAGCCCAGGAATCTCAGAATATTTTGGGGAACCTCAAGAAAAGAAGAATTCACCCAGGAACTGTAGGTAAAATCTGATGTGAGTCCATGACTTGGCTTCCTAGCCTTTTAAAGGTCTAATCTGAGATTTCTTATAATAAATTCTAACCTTGCAGATTAAAAAAAGAACCTATACAGTTATTCTTGCCACACTTCATGCAAATAATCAGGGAAAGTATAATAAGGCTAAAATGTATTTTACAATTAGTGTAATTACTATGAACAACTCTAATAAAATCAGAGTGACTGTAAAAAGAAAAATTATGTTTCAAAAGGTAATGTTTAAATATGTTTTAAAGTATATAAATTATGTTTCAAAAGAAAACTATAGTATGCCTATTATCTAATTCTAGACCTGTCCACTGTTTTTGAGTTTCATTATTTTCTAGATTAAATCCTGAATTCTTAGTTTCCTCTAATACCTGGTTACAGCTCCCATAATAACATTTCCAATTTTTTCCCCACCTATCTGTCTTGAAATCAGTAAAAATTTAAACCATGCTTTTCCTAAAGCAAGTCCTGCAAAAGGTAGTCAACTGAATATAAACTTTGGAGAAATCACACAATAACTTATTTATAGAAAAAAGTTTACTGACACATTTGATGTAAACTGTAATCCAGAAAAATCTGATTACCACTGTCTACTTCTACCCCCACTGCAGATACTTTGAACACAAATCTAAAAACCTTCTCAGCTGGCTGCCCGCCAGAAAGACTGGCTTACAGACTGCTTCAGACATTAACCTTCAGTTTTTTGCTTTCATAGAAATGTCTCTTACTAAATACCTGTTTGCCTACACCATACAGAAAACTGACTTTCATTAAAAAAAACCCACCTACGACACCACCTCCAGAAATAAGACACAACTGTTCAACTGAACTGACTATTCTCAGGTCTAAAAGAGTGTTTCAACAGGATATGGAACAATGTGTTCATATTTGTTCTTTCTTCTAGTTTCATGTTTTCTTCTCCTTTGCCAATCTCTTATCTTTAAAAACTCTAACCCAAATCTCTCCCAAGCTACTCACTCAGTTTTTAATATGTGAAACTTTCTGAAAGTAGAGTTTCAAAAGGGAACTGAAGGAAATAAAAATACTTCTCCCCAAAATACTGAGGATTGTTAAGTTAAAGACTGAGAATATAGGGGTTCACTCTGCCTCAGCCTCTATTTGCCTGATGGCATGACATAAATCCTTTCTTACTGGGGACAGCATTTGCTTACTGGCCCAGAGAAGGTACAGCCTGGCTCCAGAGGAACCTGGAAACAGATCTGACTATTCTCTCACATT